CACCCGTTTATCATGTTGAGATGTACACCCTGGTCTAAATATGGTGGTACTCCACCAACCTTCGAAATTGTCAAGGCTCGTGACCTAGGTCATGTTCCAGATGACATACACCTTAGCCCACTTCCTGCCGGAGCCGACATGTATTCGGGCCTCGGTATCCCAGCTAGGTCTACCGTTTTGTCTCCGGACCATTTAGAGGTCATTAGTTTCCCGCTCCACCCTATGATTCATCTCATCTTATTCTTCACTAATACTCACCCTATGCAGCTAAACCCAAATTCTTACTTGATTATGTCGACCTTTCTGGCGTTGGGTTTGAAGTTAGGTGTATCCTTAGGTTTTAGGGATTTTCTCTATCCCTTTGACTTGACGGTTATTAAGGGCGAAACTAGCTTCTTTAATTTTAAACCTAGATATCGTAAGAAATTCTTGTCATTGGGCCTTTCGAGAGCCAGAGATTGGAAGAACCGTCCTCTTCTGATTTCGAGAAATTGGAAGGCTCCCGAGCTATCACAACTATCTATTCCTTCTGCTTTCGGTCCTAAACCTGGTATATATAAATTTACCTTTATTATTTTTTTATAAATATGCGGACTTTACTTACTGTGAATTTCTTTCGTAGCTTTATCAGATGGTCCCGAACAGATCATTTCTAAAGACCGAAAATGCTGGCTAAAGAAGTTTGTGACGAGGAAGATATGGAGCTCTAGAGAAGTTGCCGACACCCTCACTCAAATCACCTCTCTCCGCAACTCCATCATTTACTTCCCGTACTGTTTGGTCGACTGGTCGTTGCCCCTAGATCCCGTACTCAAATCTATCTTCGCTCTCGATCTTGACCTTCAATTCAGCGCAGAGTCTTCCTTACTTGTGGCTGACTCTCGAACGGAGGGCTTAGAAGAAGAAGAGGAAGGAGGAGAAGACGAAAAGTCAGGGCAATCAGACACAAATTCTGACTCAAATTATTCCCCTGCGATGGCTTCACCACCCTCTGACATTCCACTGTCTCGCTGCATTACGTCGCCTCCACGTGATCTTCATGTACCCAGAATTGCAGGCAGGTCGGATAAGCGTCATCTGGCAGATAGGCCCAAAAGGTCTAGGCGTGGTTCGCCGACTATCTTCGGCACAGCCCCAAGATCCATGCTATGGCAATCGGCTCATCCCACATTCGGCTCGGCTAGTGGTGATGGTTCCAACAATTCATCTCAAGCTTGGAGGCTTGAGTTCACAAAAAGAGATAGGAGTCACGTCACCCTCGGCGACGATCTATGGGCAATGCAAGTACCGCTACTGCTGTGGCAAGGGGCTTGGTTCACCCTAGTGATGCCGGTCGTTTTAAGGCAATGCTCGATGACGATGTCGACTCTTATGAATCGCATTGCCTTATGAAGGTATGCCTTTATTCTCTCATGCTTTCGTCATTTCTGTAAGCTTTAGCCTTGACGTTGTTTCCAGATGGCTCTCCTTCAAAAGGAAAAATCAGACAGACTGGCTGCCAGGTTGGAATCCTGATAGGATTTTTAACGTCTATGCAAATAGGGTCAAAATCACATGAAATATTTGCAAGAATGCAAGGATATTGTAGTATAGATGCTCATGCAAGGTCGTTTTCCTCAAGGACTATTTTGATAATTTGTGTAGAAACAATTCCTAATTAAATACTTAGAATTAAAACTTGAGAAAAGAGAGTTTGAGAATGGGTAATATTAAAAAAACGAATTTTAAACAAAAAGTAAAATAATCGAAGAAAAGAGTTTTAAATACCAATTTATAAAGGCACTAGGGTTCCACCATCACCTAGCAATCCTATGAATTTCTACCAATTACTTATGATTTACACATGCTACTTTGAAAGTTAGGTTTTCCTAATATATATTCTCCTCGTGATATTCAAGCAAGAACGTATATCTAACATGCAATCCGTCTGTGATATTCAGATCAAATATGAACATGCAAGACTCATTAAGTTTTATGAAAACCTTTTGAAAAACCATGCAACTCCTAAGAACGTGATATTCGCCTTAGATGGAATTACAATTATCAATCACAAGAAGCAATACTCAATCCTCCGGTGATATTCCGACCGAATTGCATCCAATTACTTGTCTAAACATCCTAATGGTGGCCAATCATCAAGATAATTAGATAGTTTAAAACAGTGATCAATAATTCGAAGTGCGCATGCAATCAATCATGAGCAATTAAATAAAAATTACATATTCATGCTAAGGCTCAAGGCTTCGCCCTAGCAAAAGGAATTAGTTATGCATATTCATAACTGAAATCATAGAAAATATTATTAAGAAGAAAAGGAATGAAAACACCTTAAAGTATAAATTCTCCAAGAACCCTCGCCAAGTTCTTTGTCTCTGAAGTTGAATAATAATAAGCGTACTCAAAAATTGTAGACGGCCAAAGCAATATATTTGCTCCCCTCACAAACCCTAAGACATAGGTTTTTTATTCCAACTAGGAAACTAAGAAAAATAATAAAATATCTTAGAAAATAAAACCCTAATTAAACTAGGAGAATCTGCCAAGTACTTTTCCAGTCACGTTTTAGCCTCAGATCTCCTCTAAATCTGGCCCAAGATAGCTTTTTCTAAAGATAAGGACCTTGCGAACACATCTCCAGAAGGCCACGAAACCATCCGAGGTTATCTTGGGCTCCAAAAACGCAATTTAAGCCCAGAAACGTCATTTTCCAGCACCGCGCATCGCTCCTTTATTTTATCGCCAGAAAATAACCGCTTGATGGAAAAATCCCAAATTTTTATATGACCAAGCTAAGTGACTCACGAATGTCCTCCAACTGGAATTACTCCAAAATTCGTCCATTTGTCCATGTTTTGCTCCAGAGGAAGTTGAAAGTCCTATATTGAAAATACAATTCAAAGTATCAAAATTCTTCCAAAATATTAACCAAAATATACTAAGAATAGGGTTAAATATATAATATAAAATTCACTTATCAAAATACCCCCAAACTTAGCTTTTTGCTTGTCCTCAAGCAAAATAAAACTAGAAAAGAAAAATAAAAACAAACAAATTGGACACTTAACTAAAACAAAATTCTCACTTTCAAGTTGCAATCCATAGAAAATGTTAAAAAATCAGAACATCTTTTCAAAAGTTCCAACCAATCCCACCACAGAGTCTAAGCCATTTAGAATCAATTAGAAAAGAATTCACAAACTTCCTTTGGTGTAAAGTGAACCAACATAGTTAAAGAGACTCGACCAAAACTCTTACCTCTCATCCCTTTATTCATACTTCACACACTAACTTCGCATAGATATTTTTTTTTTCTCTTTTTTTTTTTTTTTTTTTTTTTGAAGTAACAGTAGTGGTCGTGTAATGTCGATTCACTTAAGCTTTCGATCCAACCCATGTAGCGAGCTTTAGGTCAATGACTCCCAAACCACTAGGGCTTTAGGGCACTAGGTGTGGAACACCCCTAAGGACTTATTAACCCGAGCTGAAAAGGCTACGAAACCAACTAACCACCCTGCCTCATGCCAAAATTCTATCGTTTGATGCGAGAATCACTGCTGATTAGGCAGGACTGGCCCTGTTACTAGGCAGAACCTCGGGTGAGACAATTATTACTTTATAACACATACTAACTTTACTTTATTTAGAACAAAAATAAAAATACACTTGGACAAAAAGCAAGTGTTTCAATCTCACTCCCCACAAACCATGTTGGTGTGATGTGCAATTGTCAAAGTATAATTCGTGAATTGGTGTCTAAGTAACGATAAATAGAAAAGACTCTACTGTGGGATTAATCTTTACCATGTCCATTTGTTCTAATGTTTAAAATAATCTATGGATATTAGCTTAAAAACGAAAAAATTTAACTGACACAAAATAAAAACCCTAAATTTTTACTACTTTCCCACCCCCAAACTTATTTCACACTTTGTCCTCAAGGTGTGGAAAATAAATATAAACTAAAAAAACAAAAAGCAAAACTAGAAAAGATAAAAACAAAAGTCTAGACCAAAGAACTAAAAGAAAAAGGGAAATAGAAATGAAACAAAGAAATAAAAAAAAATGAAATATAAGAGAACAAAAAAAATAACAAAAAGGAAAAGTAAAAAATAAAAAATAAAAAATCACCTGACATAAGAAACATTGGGCCGTGACAAAATGATGCACATAGCCTCGTGATGACCCTTTGGATTATAACCCAGCCTACAAACCAAAGAAACCGAAAAGAACATTGGATGTCGATTTGAAATTGGAATGGCATGCAGCTGGCATGTGCATTGGAAAGTGGGATTATGCTAGTTCCCATGTCTGAAGAAAAAAATTCACGAGCAGTCCTCACAATCATTGTCAGGAAATGAGCCCAAACGGCTATTTTCTTTTTACCAAATCGAGAGCCAAATGGTACTGTATTTTCCCAGTTTAAAATAACCCTCTCGGATAGAGACATAGGGCCACACGATGAAAACACATGTCATACATCCGTGTAATAAACTCCTTAGGATTCCAATAGAGACGCTGAAATGTGTTACAGTCACCCATTGTTATGTCAGATGGCATTTAGAACCCATAGGCTGTATCATTTCTCGCAAGCTGCACCTCCATAACAAAACCTTTTCTCTGATCACGCAGAACCCATTTCTCTCCGAAATGAAAAAAAAAGAAAATTTCCGTCTTTCTCTCTCTAGAAAAATCCAAAGAGACTCACGGAGCTCTTGCCATGTTCAAAACTCGCAACCCAACCAGTAAGTCAAATCGCCATGTCACAGCAGCTCTTGCATCCTCTCGAAGAGCTGTCTTCGTAGCCTTCCAGAACCGCGACAAACAAACCTCTGTGAGTCCCGAGCCGTGGTAAAGTGAGCTGAAAAGTGAAGATGTTGAAGGTAAAAATCCTCCTCAATTTGTGTTACTTCCGTGTCAGCTTGATGTATTTGGGTGAAAGGAAACAAAATCTAACACATGCATGTGTGTTTATCCGTAGGAAGTCCTCTAGACTTGCAGATCTGAGCCGATGTACACCACGCATTCGAATTGTCAGCAAAATCCGAAACCAGTTAGTGTCTGCCATAGAAATGATGCACAGTGCAGCTCCAATCATCCCACAGAGGTACACATCTTCACACCAACTATCGTAGTGTGGTGACTTCCATGTCGCCTATAACTCCACCATGCAAATGTATAAGCTATGTGTCTCGTTGGTGTGTAAAGGTGCTTGAGCTGGATGCTGGACCGGAGCAAGGACACGGCAACAGAGACGACATTTCGGACCTGAGGCATGCAGAGGTAAAAATTTTGTTCTCCACCAATGATGACCCCCAAATTGATACACCTGTTTCCACTGGAACTCATACACTTGATTGTTCTGTTGCAGGGAAAATACCCCAGATCGGCAAAGGAAACGTGATGACAAAACCATTAGCTTACGCTGAAGAATAGCCGCTTAGCAAAATAGAGAGGTATAACATCACATCCCTGCTTGTATATGATAGATCTGCTACTGGATGTATGATTCCGTCTAACATGATCTCTCTGTGCATTAAGTTTTGTTTATCTTGTTTGCTGGCTGCATAAAAATCAGGTGTTGAAATCAGAGATAAAAATGTAGAAGATACTATCGGTAAAATAAAACAAGTAAAAGCAAAGAATGTTTTGTTTTGTTTTGTTTTGTTTTTTTTGTTTTTTGTTTATTATTATTATTTTTTTTTAAATTTTATTCGATTTTTTTTTTAAAGAACATGAAATGCAGCCTAGGAATTTAAATGCAGCTAGAAATTGAAAGTAATGAAAGAAAAATGAAACAAAGTAAAGAAAAAGTTAGAAAGTTGGGTTGCCTCCCAATAAGCGCTTTATTTAAAGTCTGTAGCTAGACGTAGCAGAAATCTGGTGGCTAAGTCACTGGATCCCTCAGAGTTAATGACTCGCGTGCTGTGTCATAGGGTGATTCCAAGTATGGTTTGAGCCTGTGACCATTGACCTTGAATTCATGACTTGTGACCTCATTTTTTATCTCCACAGCCCCATGTGAATAAACTTTAGTGACCACATATGGCCCTGTCCAACGTGACTTAAGTTTGCCTGGAAAAAACTTTAATCTGGAATTGAAAAACAACACCTTTTGCCCTGTGTACAATTCCCTGCGAAGGATTTTACTATCATGAAATGCCTTAGTCTTGTCTTTGTAGATTTTTGAACTTTCATATGCATCATTACGAATCTCATAGAGCTCATTGAGCTCCAACTTACGCTTCTCCCCAGCTGAATCATATGCAAAATTTAGCTCCTTAATGGCCCAAAACGCCTTATGCTCTAGTTCCATATGTAAATGACATGCTTTCCCATACACAAGTCTAAATGGCGACATCCCAATTGGGGTTTTAAAAGCTGTCCTGTAAGCCCACAATGCGTCATTTAATTTTAAACTCCAATCCTTACGTGTAGAGCCAACTGTTTTCTCCAAAATCCGTTTTAATTCTCTGTTTGAAACTTCCACTTGACCAGAGGTCTGTGGATGATAGGGTGTGGCCACGCGATGAGTAATCCCATACTTTGCTAATAAAGCATCAAACTGTTTATTAATAAAATGCTTCCCCCCATCACTAAGAATCACACGTGGAATTCCAAAACGTGGAAATATAACCCCCTGGAGGAATTTCAGTACCACTGATCCTTGATTAGTTGGTGTTGCAATGGCCTCGACCCATTTAGAAACATATTCCACAGCAACTAAAATGTACTGATTCCCATGAGATGATGGGAATGGTCCTATGAAATCAATACCCCAAACATCAAATAACTCAACAATTAGAATACTCTGCTGGGGCATCTCATTCCTCGTGGATTGGTTGCCGACTCTTTGACACCTGTCACAAGCTCTGCACCAATTATGTGCATCATTAAATAATGTAGGCCAAAACAACCCACTTTGCAGAATTTTCTCTGCTGTCCTTTTTTGTCCAAAATGGCCCCCCCATGCATACTGATGAGCAAAACGCAAAACACTGTCTTGTTCAGCCTCAGGAATGCACCTGTGAATAATCTGGTCGGGACAATACTTATATAAGTATGGTTCATCCCATAAATAATGCTTGACATCAGACAAAAACTTCTTTTTCTGCTGAAATGAAAAATCGGGATGCACAACACCCGTAGCTAAATAATTAACAAGATCAGCAAACCAGGGTGTATTAATTTGGGCAGCAAAGAACTGCTCATTTGGAAAACTCTCACTCAATGGTAGAGAATCTGCCTCCTTAGCTGCTGGAATAATTAATCTGGATAAATGGTCAGCCACCACATTTTCACTGCCCTTCTTGTCTTTAATCTCGAGGTCAAATTCTTGAAGTAAAAGAACCCAACGAATCAACCTAGGCTTTGCATCCTTTTTAGACAACAAGTATTTTAATGCAGCATGATCAGTATAAACAATTATCTTAGCCCCAACCAAATAAGACCGAAACTTCTCTAAGGCAAACACAACTGCCAACAATTATTTCTCTGTGGTAGCATAGTTAAGCTGTGCATCATTGAGTGTACGACTTGCATAATAAATGACATGGGGAAACTTGTCTTTCCGCTGTCCTAAAACTGCCCCAACAGCATAATCTGAAGCATCACACATTAATTCAAATGGTAGACCCCAATCTGGTGCAGCAATGACGGGTGCCGAAGTTAGGAGTGATTTCAACTTGTTGAATGCTTCTAAGCAAGCCTCATCGAAATTAAATGGTGCATCTTTAGCCAATAAATTGCACAAAGGTCGGCTGATCTTGGAGAAATCCTTGATGAACCGACGATAAAATCCTGCATGTCCCAAAAATGATCTAACACCTTTTACTGATGTAGGGGGTGGCAACTTTGCAATCACATCAATTTTAGCTTTGTCAACTTCAATGCGTTTGCTAGAAATTGAATGACCCAAAACAATTCCCTGTTTCACCATAAAATGACACTTTTCCCAATTCAGCACTAAATTGGTTTCTTGACATCTCTCAAGAACTAAGGACAAATTATGTAGGCACTGATCAAATGAATCTCCAAACACAGAAAAATCATCCATAAAAACTTCCACAATTCTTTCAACTAAGCCAGAAAAGATACTCATCATACAACGCTGAAAAGTGGCGGGTGCATTGCATAACCCAAATGGCATCCTCCAATAGGCAAATGTCCCAAATGGACATGTAAATGTTGTCTTATCTTGATCTTCTAGTGCAATTGGGATCTGATTGTACCCAGAATAGCCATCCAAGAAGCAATAAAAAACCCTGCCAGCCAATCTTTCTAACATTTGGTCAGTAAACGGTAGAGGAAAATGGTCTTTTCTTGTACCTGCATTTGGCTTCCTATAATCCACACACATACGCCAGTCTGTAGCTAACCGCGTAGGAATAAGCTCATTGTTGTCATTTTTAACTACTGTAATGCCAGTACGTTTAGGAACAACCTGCGTAGGACTCACCCATTTACTGTCTGAAATAGGATAAATCATACATGCATCAAGTAATTTCATAACCTTTATTCTGACCACCTCTTTCATAATTGGGTTAAGGCGGCATTGAGCATCAACTGTTAGCTTCACGTCGTCTTCCATTAAAATTCTGTGCATACAGATTGCTGGGCTAATACCCTTGATGTCGGCAATTGTCCATCCTAGTGCATCTTGATATTTCCTCAAGACACGAAACAATTTATCTTACTCTGTGGGAGTTAAATCAGCTGCAACTATAACTGGCAGCGTTTCTGCAGCCCCTAAATGTGCATATTTTAAATGTTCTGGTAAGGGCTTCAACTCCAATTTTGGTGGCTGCTGTCTGGACGGCTTAAGGGGCTGTTTTGGCTCCCCTAAGCTCTCGTAAACATTTCGAAACCTTGGCAACTGTGTGGGCAGACTGTCCAATGCGTGAATGTACTCAAGAACACCTTCATCTTCAGAATCTGTTCCAATTTCCCCTTGTAAAACGTGCAGCAACTGATCTGTATTTGAACTGGCATAAAAACTATCTTGAACGATACTGTCTAACACATCAATGCGCATACAATCTTGCTGTTCAGCAGGACGTTTGGCTGCCTCAAACAAATTAAATACCATAGATTGGTCTTGAACTCGTAAAGTTAGCGTTCCAGCTTCCACATCAATTAAAGTTCTAGTTGTTGCCATAAACGGCCTCCCCAAAATGATAGGTGTTTGAAGGTCTTCATCCATGTCTAAAACCACAAAATCCGCCGGTAGATAAAGATTATCAACCTTAATAATAAGATCTTCAATAACACCTCTTGGATAAGTGATTGAACGGTTAGCTAGTTGAAGTATAATTGATGTAGGCTTTAAATCTCCTTGTCCCAATTGCTGGAAAACAGAAAAATGCATCAAATTAATACTCGCACCCAAATCAATTAAAGCACTTTTATAATTAGAATTTCCAATAGTACAAGAAATATTAAAACTCCCTGGATATTTTTTCTTAGATGGCAGTTTGTGTAGCAAAACTGCACTGCACTGTTCAGTCAAAACAACTTTGTCCAAATCTGCAAGCTTCTTTTTGCTGCTGCAAACCTCTTTTAGAAATTTGGCATATGATGGTATTTTCTTGATTGCATCCAGCAATGGAATGTTGATTTGAACCTTGGATAATGTCTGCATAAAATCTTTGAGTTGCTGATCTTTTGCTTTAGGAATTACACGTTCAGGGTAAGGCAGTGGAGGGTCATAAACACGCTGAGAAATTTGTTTTGGGACTGTTTCTGTACTGTGTAGATTCTGTTTTCTGCAGATTTGTCAGGTTCTGCTGCTGGCATTTCAGATTCTGCAGTAATTGGCACTGCAGGCAAATTCTGTTCAGTACAAATTGCACGATTGTCATAACTTTTTCCACACCGTAAAGTCCGAACAACATTGCAATCTTTATGTCCTCTTGGATTAGGCACTATTTGACTAGGAAATTTGCCTTTTCTCTGTCTGAAATCTGTGCAGCTAGCTGCCCAAATTGTTGCTCCAAACTTTTAATTGATGCTTCAACATTTTGAATTCTTTGATTGCTGCCTTCCATGAATGTTTGTGTTGTAGCTGCCAGTTTAGAAAGTTGATCTTCCAAGGATGGCTTTGATGGCACAAAAGGTTTTTGTACATGCTGGAATGGTTTTGAATTATTTTGATTATCACCCCATTTGAAATTAGGATGATCCCTCCATCCTGGATTGTAATGAGTTGCGTATGCATCATTCCTAGGCCTTTGATAGCTGTTCATCATATTAACATGTTGCTCCACAAGCTCTGGGTAAGAGTCTTTATGTGGACAGCCCAATATGTTGTGTGTAGCCATGCTGCAGATAATGCAAGTTGTTGCTGCAGGTGGCTGCTGCTGTGTAGAATTTGCTATCTGTTGTAGAATAATATCAAACTTGGCATCAATTTTCTTCTCCATTTTTTCCATTTGTGTAGACATATTAGGAGAACCTGCTGATAACTCAAAAATGCCCCTTTTCTGTGAATGTTCTGCTGCCCATTGTTGAGATTCTGTAGCCATTGTATCAAATAATTCAAATGCTTCTCTTGCAGATTTATTTGACAATGAACCCCCAGCTGAGGCATTAACATGGCTTTTGGATGTAGGATTAAGCCCATCAAAGAAAATATCCATTTGTGTATCTGGATCAATATTAACATGTGGACATTTTATATACATCTCTGTATATCTCTCCCACGCTTCATGAAATTCTTCGTTTGACTTTTGAGTGAATGTCATAATCTCCCGGTTGTAATTCAATGTCTTGGATGCCGGATAATATTTGTTCAGGAATCTTGTATGCAATTGTTGCCAAGTAGTAATGCTATTAGCTAGTAGAGTGAATAACCAAGTTTCTACCTTATCCTTCAAAGTAAAAGGAAAAAGAGGTAACTTAATAGCCTCGGCAGAAAAACCTCTGATCAAAATATTTTTGCAACCCACGATGAATTTTGCAACATGTAAATTCGCATCCTCGTTAGGCAGCCCATGAAAAGTAGGTAAAATTTCAAGCATATGGTGCTTGATCTAAAAGAATCGCCATCTTCCTAGGCAGGATACACAATACAATTAGGAACATCGTTGGCTCGAGCAACCAATGACTCTCTGAGTGGCCTGCCTGCAGCAGGCAATTGCAACACCATTGTGATTTTATCGTCTACAAAACCAGCAAACAATTCTTGCAGAAATGTGCCTTGCAGTTCACCGTTCCAAACCAAATTATTTTTTCTCCTCTGTCTATGCAGTGTGCGTTCGGGTTTTGGATCAAATTGTGCAATCTGGGCAGTTCCTGATCTGGTCTGGACCATGCAGTTTACAGAATCTGCAATAACACAAAAGTTTTAAAATAAATTGATTTTTTTTTGACGAAAAATAATATAAAAAAAATAATCAGAAAAAGTTAAACAAAAATTATCTAAAATAGTCGCCGGCAGCGGCGCCAATTTCTTGATAGGATTTTTAACGACTATGCAAATAGGGTCAAAATCACATGAAATACTTGCAAGAATATAAGGATATTGTAGTATAGATGCTCATGCAAGGTCGTTTTCCTCAAGGACTATTTGGATAATTTGTGTAGAAACAATTCCTAATTAAATACTTAGAATTAAAACTTGAGAAAATAAAGTTTGAGAATGGGTAATATTAAAAAAACGAATTTTAAACAAAAACTAAAATAATCGAAGAAAAGAGTTTTAAATACCAATTTATAAAGGCACTAGGGTTCCACCATCACCTAGCAATCCTATGAATTTCTACCAATTACTTACGATTTACACATGCTACTTCGAAAGTTAGGTTTTCCTAATATATATTCTCCTCGTGATATTCAAGCAAGAACGTATATCTAACATGCAATCCGTCTGTGATATTCAGATCAAATATGAACATGCAAGACTCATTAAGTTTTATGAAAACCTTTTGAAAAACTATGCAACCTCTAAGAACGTGATATTCGCCTTAGATGGAATTACAATTATCAATCAAGAAGCAATACTCAATACTTCGGTGATATTCCGACCGAATTGCATCCAATTACTTGTCTAAATATCCTAATGGTGGCCAATCATCAAGATAATTAGATAGTTTAAAACAGTGATCAATAATTCGAAGTGCGCATGCAATCAATCATAAGCAATCAAATAAAAATTACATATTCATGCTAAGGCTCAAGGCTTCGCCCTAGCAAAAGGAATTAGTTATGCATATTCATAACTGAAATCGTAGAAAATATTATTAAGAAGAAAAGGAATGAAAACACCTTAAAGTATAAAATCTCCAAGAACCCTAGCCAAGTTCTTTGTCTCTGAAGTTGAATAATAATAAGCGTACTCAAAAATTGTAGACGGCCAAAGCAATATATTTGCTCCCCTCACAAACCCTAAGACATAGGTTTTTTATTCCAACTAGGAAACTAAGAAAAATAATAAAATATCTTAGAAAATAAAACCCTAATTAAACTAGTAGAATCTGCCAAGTACTTGTCCAGTCACGTTTTAGCCTCAGATCTCCTCTAAATCCGGCCCAAGATAGCTTGTTTTAAAGATAAGGACCTTGCGAACACACCTCCAGAAGGCCACGAAACCATCCGAGGTCGTCTTGGGCTCCAAAAACACAATTTAAGCCTAGAAACGTCATTTTCCAGCACCGTGCATCGCTCCTTTATTTTATCGCCAGAAAATAACCGCTTGATGGAAAAATCCCACATTTTGATACGACCAAGCTAAGTGACTAACGAACGTCCTCCAACTAGAATTACTCCAAAATTCGTCCATTTGTCCATGTTTTACTCCAGAGGAAGTTGAAAGTCCTTTATTGAAAATACAATTCAAAGTATCAAAATTCTTCCAAAATATTAACCAAAATATACTAAGAATAGGGTTAAATATATAATATAAAATTCACTTATCAAATCCCTCAGCCTTACTCAGCAACAGGTCAGAGAGTACCGGGCTAAGCTTCACGGATATGAGGAAGAGATCACAAGTTTGCAAGGAGCTCGGGATGCTGTGACGTCCGAAGTATGTCGCGCGAAGGAAGAGTTGGCCGAGGTCAAGTGAGCGAGGGCCACTGAGCGCGAGATGAATATGCAGCAAATACGTAAGGAGATGGCTTCCAGCTTCAGGTTTGGTTGGGTGCAAAGCCAGCAGCGCCCGGAACATCGATTTGTAAATGATCCTGACGTGTATGATCGCCATATGGGAATTGAACTGGGTGGATACGAGTGGTACGAAGGGATGGATCCTAAAGATCGGAGACCCTTAGACCAACCTGCTTCTTCTGATCCTATCCCAGGCAGCGGGTTTGTTACTACTTCTGGACCCATCTCGAGTTTAGGCTTTGAAAGCTTTCAATCCGGCCCTCGTTTCGGCGCTCAGTAGCTCTCGCAAACCCGTGGTCTGTTCTTTTAGGCTACACCCCATTTGTGTTGGTGATCCATTCTCGTGGGCTAAAACTCCATATGTGTTTGTAATATGTTTTTTCCCTTATTATCTCCGTTGTATCTTCGCACGATTGTCGTTCACAAATTGGGCCTTCGCCCTTCCACTTCCTAACTCTTCCTATCTGTTCCTTTTAATTTTCAATCGTAACTGAATGTGACCAATTATCCTTTATCCTTAAATTTGAGTTTTCAAACCAAAGAGATTAACTTATCTTGATAAGATACGATCACTTTAGATTTTGAATTTTCGTTTCTATCAATTTTGAATTGCCTCTATATAAAGGGATGTTTGAGAGCCATTAGATAGTACCTGGATCTTCATGGCTAACAATCAAAAAGTGAAGCTCCACTTCCGGCTCTACGCTGATGTTCCAAAAAAAAAAAAGCTCTCGGAGGGGTTCCAGGGGTTCTAGGAATGTAATCGAGCTATGTTCTAACTCATCTTCTCATTCACCAGGGAGGGCTTCTTATTCTTCTAAAGTCCCTAACACTTTTCGTGAATCCTCATACCGGTCTCGAACAAGATCGGGTGGAAAACAAGCTCTAGACTCCATTGTCGACGGAATGATCTCTCCGGGGCTAAATTTTACCACTCGAGCTCTTAATCTTATTACTAACAGAATGGTCTCTCCGGGAAGGAGTCACGCAACTCGAGCTCCTGACTCTATTGCCCGTTCCCCTGACCCTTATGCAGGAGACGAAGCGGGTCCTTCTCGTGCACCTTCCCGTCATCAACCACGCTGTCCCCAGTGCTTCGACTACTTTCTACTATTAAACGAGCGTGAAACTCTGAAGGGACACTTACAACACGCTGAACACCAGGTGGATCGTCTCAAGAGGGAATTAATGGCTGCCGATCGTGCCGTGTCTACTGCTCACTCAGATGGCATATATGATGGTTTTAAGCAAGGCGTCCAATATTTTCGCTCAAAGGCAAAAGTGGCATTTCCTTCGTTAAACTGGGATAGTCTCTCTAACCTATTAGACTAGGTGTCATTTTGCTTGTAATAAGTTGGGCCTTTAGTTCCAACCACTACTGGACCACTACTGGGATGTCTAGTAGTGCTGTTGTCCTTGTTTTTTCCTTTTCGCTAGTAGGTTTACTTCTCATTCTTGTCTTTTATCGTACTATGTGTCCAATGTTTCAAATAAAACATATTCTCTTTTATGGCATGAGAGCAACATCCCACTGCCTAAGCTTTTTACCTTTGTACATGTCACGCCTCATTTTCCTATGCAAACACGCGACGTGTTCGAGAAGGCAAATCAGATGAAATTCACCCTTTCGTTATCGATCTTAGAAATGATTCAACCTTGAATCAATTTTTACCTATTCAATCTTGGATGGGTTTTTGCCCATTGGTTTTCCTTTCCTGCTCGATCTTAGATTTTCGATCTTGATTGGGTCTTCGCCCATGCGATCTTGGGTTTCTTTTCCCACTCGATCTTATATTCGCGATCTTGGTTGGGCCTCTGCCCATCCGATCTTGGGTTTTCTTTTCCTGTTCGATCTTTGATTTCCGATCTTGATTGGGTCTCTGCCCATCCGATCTTGGGTTTTATTTTCCCGTTCGATCTTTGATTTTCGATCTTGATTGGGTCTCTGCCCATCCGATCTTGGGTTTTATTTTCCCGCTCGATCTTTGATTTTCGATCTTGATTGGGTCTCTGCCCATCCGATCTTGGGTTTTATTTTCCCCCTCGATCTTTGATTTTCGATCTTGATTGGGTCTCTGCCCATCCGATCTTGGGTTTTATTTTCCCATTCGATCTTTGATTTTCGATCTTGATTCGTTCCTCAGCCCTTAGTTTGTACTCTTCAGTTTTAGACTTTATTTTAAGATTCGGATGAAATGCAACTTTATTTATCAAACAATAGGGAGATGTCAATGGACATCTAGGGATACACCCTTCGATATGGAAAGAAAACGGAAAGGGAATTACCCTTCAACATTACTGGAAACAGAAATTTAAATACGGGAAACATAAATACGAAATGTTAAATGTGGTACTTTCTCAAATGAATTGTGTTCCATGGGCGCGGCACATACTGACCTGTTTCAACGTGCCTGAGTTTATAAGCTCCCTTTCCGAAGGCTTCGGTCACCTCATATGGTCCTTCCCCATATGCGTCCAAGCTTCCCTGCATTCAAATTTTTGTGTTTTCAATGACCTTTCTCAACACCCATTCTCCTACCCTGAATCTTTTCGACTTAACCCGTTTGTTGAAGTAAGCGGCAACTTGGTTCTGGTAGTTCGCAAGTCGTAGTGCGGCGATCT